CCCAGCAGCAAGCTTGTATGACGCCTTCGCTTGAGAGACATGGCCAGAATCTACGAGAGCTTTGAGAGCCTTGTTCAAAGCAGCCTTGTTCTCGACACCAAAGTTTTGCTTAATGAAGCTGAGTATGGCCTGGCGACTCATTTTCTGGAACCCCTTGCATGTGGTGAGGGCCTGCTTGACCATAGCAGAATAGTTGGGATGAGCTCCAGATTTAATGCTAGTTTTGACAGTCATCGCGGAATGCTAATTGACGTTAGAGTGCTTAACGAACCCGAGTCTTCGAAGAAACTACCGAATGCATGTTCTGAAACAAATATGGTAAAACAGCGAAAAACACCTGATTGAGAAACGACAAACTCCTGCACACGGTTAGAAAGATGGCGTTGAGAAACGCCTTGAAATGGTCACAACTGCCAGCGGACCTTAGGCGGAAGTGAACTTGGTCACTGCTTTGGTTCCCTCGCTAACAGCGTGCTTAGCGAGTTCACCTGGAAGAACCAGGCGAATCGCAGTCTGAATCTCGCGGCTAGACAGAGTTCCTTTATTGCTATACTTGCAAAGTCGCCCAGCCTCGGAGACTATTCGGTCGAAGGTGTCGCTCACCAAGGAGTTCATGATCATCATGCTCTTCTTGGATATACCAGTCTTAGGATGCACTTGCTTCAACACCTTGAAAATATAGCTGTTGAAAGTCTCCTTCCTACCAGCTCTGCGCTTTCTATCGGTAGCAGGCTTAGTTGCGGTAGTGGTTTTCGGAGCCATGTTAAACTGAGAGTATTTTACTTGCGGGATAGTTTAAAAGTATCTCAGCAACGCCTCGTACTCTCCAGACGGTTCTGATGCAAATAACGCAAAAAATTCACTCTTGTAATATTGTGATTTCGAATTTTCCTCTTGAAATACTCGAGTATCAAACTTACATTGCTAAGTTTGAGAGATTCTTAACTGTGAAGAAATCTTACAAGAATTGTTGAGATGGCGCCTAATAACGCCTTGGAATTGCTAGGGCTCCGCCAGCTAATGCACTATCTACATCTCCTGGGAAGCGGTGAAACTCTTACCTTTACTCTTCTTGGGAAGAAGTGTAGTGTGGATGTTGGGCAAAACGCCACCGCTCGCGAGAGTAACACCAGCGAGGAATTTGTTAAGTTCCTCATCGTTGCGGACCGCCAGCT